GGTGGTGGTAGTAGTGGTGATATTAGTAGTACTGGTAGTAGTAGTAGTGTGGTCAGTGGTGGTGGTGGTAAAGATGGTGATGGTGGTTGTGAGTGTTGATAGTGGTGTTTTTTGGTGTTTTTGGTAGTAGTGGTGTTCGTAATGTCAGTGATGAAGTAAAACATGAAACGACCACCACTATCACAACCCTTCTCAAATCAATAGCAACCGCATTCTAGTTACTCTATAGTTACCTGAAGTCGTGGATTAATGGTGAAGCTACCAGCTGTTGGGTTCATGCAGGCTATATATTGTGTATTGCCTACATCTTTCAAGGTCAATTTGGTTCGATCGTACCAGTGATGGTAGTCTAGATGTTGACGAATCAGCGTGTGAGGCTGTACTGTACCATATGTGTCCACCTAGAGTAAGAAGGAATATTCTCAACATTCACTTAAAAGGTTTGATTTGAATATAATCACGGAAAAATTTACTCCTAAACTAAACATTTTTCACAATCAAACAGAAACAAAGTTTGCTTTCGGCTAAAGAAACCAACCATGACCTACCATAGGCATGTTCATATCGTCGATGAAGTAAATTAGCTTTTTATTTCCTGGTGGTCCATAATTACGTCCTGCCTTCTTCTCCAGTGGTTTTTCTAGTACACCCTGCAACATGGCCGAGGTGGTGTAGTAGTTGAATGGTACGTTGGCTACCATGGTAACGTCAGAGTCCAACGATTGGAAGTAGTCGTTGACTAATACTGTCTTTCCTGTACCGGCACTACCCACTAACATTACTGGTCTTTTCTTGGCCATCAGTAAATCCATGAAGAATCTGACACGGGTTGTTTCTGCCGTGTGGACGAGCACAGCCTTAAGGGGAATAACGATATATGATTTAGAATAATGTTTTATACTAGCAAGTCACAGGTGAGGTTAGTTTTACCTGTAATGGTATTTCAGGGTCTAACTCGAAGCGAGGCACACTTTCTGTCCAGGGAACAAATTTCTTGGTTTCCTGGTCGATAGAGTAATCAAAAACCGTACCAGCAGAAGGAAATTTGATGGTCTTGAACTCGGTTACCCACCATTTAGAGAACTCCACACGATAGTCAATCAACTAGAAATGAAAAAAATAAACGATCTGATCGATGAAATACGAAACACACAATGCACCAAATACACCAAGCAAGGTTACGATACGCTAGAAGTGGTACTGTACACTGAAAAAATTCCTAAACATAGAATGTGGGGTCCCACAATTTCATGTTGAAGGAGCTGGTCACCGGGTTTTGGCACTAGATTTAGGAATTTCTTCTTGCGCACAAGAATGCAAACGTAATTTCTCCTGGTCTCACCTGATCTTGGAACATAGCACCTCCAAAGGCCCACACAGCAGCAAACACGAAATACAGCTCGTACAACTCCTTATTGCAGTCGGGAGGAGTATTTTCAGGCGTCAGTAGACATTCCAGCAAGTAACAGATCATGTTAACCATGGTGATGTCGGGTATTGGAGTGATCTTTTTAAAGCGCACCCGCAGCACGTCAAGGCAGACCGGTACGTATTTGTCAAACAGGATTTGAAGATTGGCCTTCTCTGATTGCACCTCACGGGTGTCAATCCAACTGGATACGTATCTATGGTAACAATAAAGAGGTCGCTGTCATTTCTGGTCTTGCGTACGTGTGGAATTCACAGCTGAATGGTAAGTTTTCTATCATGAAAATGTCAATATGGGGGATTGCACATGGGAAGGGGAGAGACGGTGTTTGCCCCTCACTGATAACGAGATTTGTGACATAAATACATTCAGCAGATTGTTACCAAGCATACTCAAATCAGAAACCTCTAACAAGTTCATTGGCTGTGACACAGCGATGGTAAGACTGCATTCATAAGGTTTTTCTTCCTTCCTTTCACTTGTATCATTATACCTGCATGCTAGCATTGTCGACAAGCTTCGTTTATATTTTTTAGTATTCACACAATATTTCATAAAGTTTCAAACCACTTACGGATTCCAGCCGACATCTGCATAATTCAAGAAAAGAATTCCAGCACGCGATACTGTTGCGGGTGTTGCAGTCTTCAGGTGACCGATCTCAAATAGTAGTCTCATGGAGGGGGTCAGTGGGACACGCTCATTACTGGCCAGTGTCAAAACCTGTAATCAACATCACGAGATGTTAGTTTATGGGTTTTACATGACCCAAGCCTACAACTTTAATCATGATGGTTTAATACCGTCCAATAGAGCTCTTTACCGTAGATGTATTGTGTCATTCTTTTGAGAATGAGAATCATTTTCTTGAGAATGGGATTCTTTGGTTCAGTTGTATTCATATTCATAAAATATGTCTTTTTATGCGCAACCGTTAAATAAAGAAATGATTCTCTAGGGGATGATAGATGTTTTGAAAATGGGAAACCTTGTGCCATATCTCCCAGCAGAAACTAATGAGATAGAGGAGATGCCAAAGGTAACCCAATACTTTAATCACGATGTCTTCATAAAATAGAATATTTACCTTGTTGTCGTCCATGACAGTGTTGAGGGATTCAATCCACATGGGATCAATGTCACCATCAAGAACGATCCATTTGGGGGAGTCAGTGGCAATGTTAGACAAGTCACGCATGGTGGTGGAAAACAGACCTGTATGCAACAAAAAGAATGTCACGTCATACAGTCATCATTCAGCGTCACGCAAGGGTACTGATTGTGTCACAAAACCAAGCCTTGCATAAAATCAAAGTTACAATGTACTGAACAAAATCTACCTACCATCTTTCCATTCTCGAGTAGCTGGGTTGATGAAGCCAAACAATTCGTCTGCTGTCACAGCCTTAGGGTTCAGGTCGTGTAATAAAGGCTTTCTCTTTTGATTCTGGTAGGCCTTATTCAAAGTACGGATGACCTAATAAAGACATAATTAAATGCACCTTAAAAATTTTCCGGATAGGCTTTTTTGTGCTGTGGAGTACTGTGGAGAAATTTTCTTTCCGTTGATAGGGAGATCTCGGTTTTGGTTCGGGTTGATATATAACAAATGAAATTGCGATAAACATTTCAAGTGTACTTTTGTGGGAAACTTCATGGGCAGTTTTCTTTGAAGAATTCATCATCATCTTTTATCAAATATTTATTATCCCTTAATATGAAATTCTCAATCAAAAGATATCGTACGTACCTGTGTTTTGCCGGTTCCAGCAGGGCCAAGAACAAATACAGAGTGACGGACTGCTAAGAGCTCTTCCAACTGCACCACCTTTAGAATGAAGCTGTCTTCTGGTTGAAGTTTAAGATCCTGGGGAAAAAACGTAATTTCAACGTCAATCATCAGAGATATAGCGAACGTAAATGTCTACTTCCTTATTGGTGCTAAGGTACCCTATATACAACCGTCGGATATACAGTGAAATAATAATATATAATAATAATAACTTAGTTATATATTTCAACTTACCAAGGCTGATCTCTTGACCAGAGCCTCAAAGTCCATATCTCTCTTACGGGGTACATCCAGTGCTGGGAACAAGTCCCCAATAAGTCCCATAAAGATAGGAACATCATCTGTTACGATTTTTGGAATGTTAAAGTCACGTAAGGCCCTCATAAGCACCTGATCTTCTGGTCTCTGTCGGTCGGATCGTTTAAGGGAACCGGCTACGACCAGGACGGATTTGATTGCACGTAATCCCCAATCGTAATGGTCCTGTTTTGAGAGAAGCTCTTTGCAAAGCGAGTATAGGGTGATGAACTTTCTGGCTAAAGCACGAGCCTCGATGAAACCCTCAGCCACCAACATGATTTCGCAAATCAGTTCAAAATCAGGTACCACCATAGCACATGGACTGTAGGTAAAATAGTAAATAAAGGTCATGTTAAGTTATCATTGTGCACGGTTTTACAAACTTTAGCCAGACACATTTCGTAATAATTCAACGCAGTTCAGCTATCAAGACAGGAGACAACAGCACACATGAACTGAGAATAGGTTACACTTAGTGGAATGCGCATCATTCAATCTTACCGGAAAAGAGCTTTGAGATTCTCTGGTAGCTCTGTACGACCAGCATAACCAGGATTCATAGTGATGAACAGTCCAACTGTCGGAACAAGGGAGATGTCTTCCCCTTGGAAGATGAAGCGYTCCTTCTTATCTCTGATGGCGTCTTGAATAGACTTGACTTGCACAGCAATGACAGATAACACCTCCACAGAGATACGGTTGAACTCATCAAAACAACCCCATGCTCCTGTCTGGGCAAGTCCTTTGTAGATGTTACCACAAGACTAAGATAGATAGGTAGATACAGTCAGGAAGGTTCTTTCGTGCAATATCATTATAGATTAGTATAGCCCAATACCTAACCTACCTTATAGTCCATCTGTTCTGAGCAGTTGAAGACGTACACCATAATACCAAGTGCCCTTCCAAGATCCTTCGTAGTCTCAGTCTTTCCTGTCCCTGCAGGTCCAGCAGGAGCGCCACTCATGGTCAAATGAAGGGACTGAGTCAGAGTGATATAACATCTGAAATCATGAACAATACTTGGTAACTATCTTTGACAAAGGATACTCCCTAATTACAATAATCCTCAAGATCATAATGATCCAATTTTCCAATCATTTCAAGCTATACGAGAAGAACTCTTGGCAGCAGTACCACAAGTGATGGCAATTTTTTTTCACATATCAAGGACAGAATATTAAGATCTTTTTCACATTTTTTTCCATTCACAGTGGAAAGCATTTAAGTCACAAATCGAGGGCACGAGCCTATAAAAGTCATGTAAAGGCCTTGGTTGAAGTCTATGAAAACCTACTTCGTCGCGATGACGATTCCGCACGTACTATCGAGAAGCACTGTTAGTGCACTATGTACGCTATAGAAAGCCAAAACGTTCCTTACCTATCGGTCAAAGGTGTGATGACAAGACGTGGAGTATTACCAAGGTATTCATAGGAATACTTGAACTGTGCATCACAGATGTTAGCATAGCAATGACCAGTGGCATCGTCCCACCGATGCCTCAGTTGGCTAAGCCATAAGAATGCTTGGGCATTCTCAACTTTCTGTTGGATAAGCTTGGCCACTACGTCACGAGCATGTACGTCAATAGTACAGATAGTCATGATCTTCTGTCTGTCTCCGGATGTCAGGTCACCAATCAGCATGTTGATAAGCGTTGTCAATTGGTTTACCTAGACAGAAACAGGAAAACGTGTGGCAAGGACTATAAAAGAGCAATCGTAGTACTATAGTAAATAATTAGTCAAATCCGTGATCATCAATGCTGCATTCTGATTGGATGAGCTGCTACTAGGCTATAAGTTATATCCTACTAGTAGTGAAAAGTGCCGGCTTTGAAAACCCAAACATTAAATTTAACTTTAATTCAAAACTTGTTTGCATCTATATATTTGACGGACTAGTAGAATTTGACTAAAACAATTAGTCCTCTTGCCCTGGTGGTCCATGAGTCAATAGCTCATTCGGGCTCGAGGACTAACTGCTAATTAGACGATCATCAAGGAATGCTTACCTGTTTCTTATAATAATCTTTAAGCGCATTCTCATAGCCTTCCTCCAGTCTAGCAAAAGCGATGCCAACTTCTGTGGTCCACCAGATCTGAGTCCCGCAAAGCGCTACTTGAGCAGGGAAATCAAAGATCCATTGGTCACGTGGCTTCTCTTCGTATGATACCACAGCCTCTGATTGCTGATGTCTAACGGTGGCACGCGACGTGTCCATAACACGGTTGAGCCATACTTCAACCTAGTTCAAAAAACATCGGTTGTTAACCTCTTCCAAACTCAAATGAATACAGTAAAATTCCGGTTATAACTGTTATAAGCCCTCCCGGTTATAAGCCCCTTAATCTGTTAACGCAAATATCCTTCCAGTTATAACCCCCCCCCCCCCCCCCCCCCCGGTTATAAGCCCATCAAAAAAACCTTACATTACGAATAGAGGATTCTACGGGAGTGAAGTAGTCAGTAACCGCGGAGTCTAAATTCGGGGGGTTCAAGAAGGCCGCATTTTTTTTCTCAGTCACTAATGGAGATCAGTCTCCACAATTTCATGTAGAAGAGAATGACTAGACCATGTTTTTGAACAACGTTAAGGGTGTCGATAATATCATACCTGCCCAGAACAATCGCAGATCTCTTGGAACTCCACGTATTCTCCTTCTTTGCTGTACATGCCTACAGCATCTTTGGTAACATTACCTTCATCATCTTCTTTAAACTCAAGCTTTGCCATGTTGTCAAACAACTTGGACAAATGACGACACACCTACAAACACATGAAAAGGATATCGGGATTCCTGTGTTAGCAGCAACTTTGAGGCGTAGCCACTTGGTGAAACGGTGCGCGCAAATTCCAGCTATGAACAAATAGACCTCTTCGGCTCCGACGTAATGCTTTCCCATTTCAGACCACATGTCATTCCTAGAGTATCATTTCTTTGTTTAAGGTTTGCTCTCGGTTGCACATGAGAAGACACATAAATATGGATACAGCTCAAACAAAGAATCTTATTCTCAAGGGAATGGCACGTGGTCTGAAATGGGAAAACATTACCCCAAGCCGAAGAGGTCTATTGATCCACAATGGCTTCGAGTTCTTTATGACGAGTACTGAGGCTTCTTCAATTTTTATTTTAACGCTAAGACCAAGGCTCTCGTAAATATAAATATATATATATATATGACTTACCTCAACAGGCTGATTTCCTTTGGATAGAATGTCAAGTAAATCAGCAGAAGATACGAAGTAAAACCTTGGAAAGGCAAGTCTCTTGGTCTCTAGATATTCAGCAAGTGCCTTCTCGCATAGAGAAAGACTAGAAAAACAGAGTTGCGAGTTAGTATTGTTGCAATCAGGGTCTCATATTTATAAGTTATTGCGCTTTTGAGCCGCCAATACAGGCTTATATTGGCGTCTAGTTAGGAGAAAATGTATCGCGTATTGGCCGTAGTCACGCCATATCATATCTTCCATCACTAGATCACTAGATTTTCATGATTTCACGAAAATTGCTACGCTCTTGTGACTGCCCCAAACGACCCATATGACATTTTACATACTTTTCCTGGAGACGTTCTAGTTTCTCATAAAGACCAGCTCTGTTTGTACACTCAACAACGTTGGGTATTTTACCCGCCTCACTAGCAAGTTCCTGTAAGATAAAGAAACATTGCCACATTCAGTAAATGTCAACTACCATCATTTTCATACTTGAATATCCAGACACCACTGGGTTTGGAAGGATATCAAATACCGAGTATCACGAACCTTGAAGTCAGTGTCAATGCCATCGAATCTTTTTGAGTCTTCTGGCAATTGATTTCGAATATCTTCAGACCCAATGAAGATACTCTCCAAATGAGACCAAGTTCTTTGGACTTCGAACCAGATACTAATCACCGAGTCAGCAGTAGATAGCTTCTTTTGCCATGAAGTGACCTCTTCCAAGAAGTGTCCAATGTATTTGGATGTCATCAGGTTTTGCAGCTGCACTTGGTTGTCTTCAAGGGTTTCGATCAGTTCTTCACTAGATTTCAGTAGAGGTACTTTGGTTCGGAGGTGTTCTTCATACTCGAATTCCATCTGAGACCAAGTGACGTTCAGTTCTTTCAGAATCTTTTCCATGCCGAGTTCTTTGGTGGCTTTGTCAACGATACCTCGCACCTCCTCTTCGAAGTTGTGAAGGTTGAGCGCAAGTAGATCAGCCAGTGTTGCGTCATCGTCCATGACAAACTTGACCTGGTGGAAGCGTAATGAAAAATAGTAAGTATCAATTCAAGTGATTATCGGAAAAAAGACTGATTGTCAAACACGGCAAAGAAGATTTATTTTACTAATCTAAGTCAGCCGTAGTGAAATGTGCGACAAACCCGTATGGAACCCATAGCTCACATACTGACTATAAGCAAAAACACATGGATCAAAATATTGTACCTCTTGGGTCATTTACATTGCGGGCCGGTCTAGTGGTTATATGGTAGGAAAAGGTGCACACAGTGGAACGTATTGGATTTAAGGAAAACTTAGAAACAGGGGGAGTAGCAGGCGTTCGTAAACATACCTTTGTTGCCTGCATAAGTTGTTCCCAATGACGTTCTCGGATAGCAGGATTCTGTAGCTCTCCTACAGCACGCAGTGAAGTCACCATGTTCTTAACGGTTGAGTCCAGCCCAGCGAAAGCGTCCCAGGCACGCATCTCTTTATCGAGCGAACGAATCTCCTTGACGAATCGCTTACACTCCATCTCCATGTCCTCTACATTGATATCAGCCCATGCAGTCAGCTTCCACTCATCGATACTCGTACTGACCACAAACACCATGTCCCATAAGTGTTTGAGCATGAAGACTTCTTTACGACAGGCGCGCAGTTGTTTGTAATCAGGGAAGTTCACCTCGAACAGACCGGCTGACTCATGTAGAGCACCCATCTCCTTCTCCATGTTACATATTTCGCGGTTCGATTTATCCAGACGCTCGTACACATTGGTAGAGTCGAATGCAAATGGCGCCGTTTTGCGGAAATCCTCTCGGAATTCGTGTTGCTTGATGTCGAACTGACCGCATTTTCTCCTGATGATGGCAACCTCTGTGGCTTGTAGAGGAGCAACTTGTTGTTTGACAGTGACTGCGATCTTCTTGCTGTTGTTCCATTGTTCAGGAAGTTCCTGCAACTGTGTGTGCACCTCTTCTGGCATCTCTTGCCCATAGGTCTTTAGTAACTCAATCGTTTGTTTCAGAGGTTCGAACATCTCGTCAGTAGCTGACTGTCTATCCTTCACAGCCATCAGATGTCCCATGACCGCTACCAGACCATTGTAGTCACCTTCCTGGACAGTTTCAGTAAGACCAACATCTGCAACCTTGATAAACTCAGAGAGATCATTCAAGCTGTTGGTGACATGGTCAATGAGATGCTGCTTGAACATGTAGCTCCATCTCTTGATGATGTTTAACAAAGCCTGCTTGAAGGGTCGAGCATCGACTCTAAACCACGTATCAAATACATTCGTTCCTTCTACTTCTTCTACTTCCGAATAGAGCATCTCATACGTATCGATTTGCTCTTTGAACTGTTCTAACGTTGGAGGGCACTCTGGTACACCATCTTCTGTGTGTGCCTCGATTTCCTCTGCAGTCAAAACATGGTTGTACAGTAAGAATTGGCGCATGAACTCGGCCCTGTCGTCCAGCCAAAGATACGAAAAATTGTCGAAAGAACTTCGATACTCGTTGGCTTTGTTCATGATACCAGTGACTCTGTCCATCAAGTCTTGCCTCATTTCAGACAAATCAAGCATGTCTTCTACGTCAGACTGATAATTATCCGATTCGCTATGGTCGGCAAGTCTCTTCACAAGAGACGCCATCTTATAGACGTCACTCACGATGCTTTCCACCAGATCATAATATCCGTCAGACACTCCGAAATCTAACGATGGAATGAACACCAGGTCTGGTTGTTGGAGCTCAAGCTTGGCTTCGAATAAAGGAGTGCTGTTGTGTTTCAAGTCTGTATTGTCTAACAGGTAGTTAAGAGAGCAGTGGATGCAGTTAAAGAAACCATCAAGTACCATGTCATCTAGATAGTCAACGTATGCACGCCAGATGTCTGTGTTGGAATCTGCCTTGAATAACTCCAGGTTTTTCTGGAAAAGAAAATACATTGTATAGTCTGGCCTTGTACTTTTAAGCGTCAAAACCATTTAGGGACGGAGCATTACATAATTGGGGGGGGGGGGTGCGTAAATCCCCCCAAAAATATCGAGCAAGCCCTTCACCTACCAAAAAAGTATGGTGCAACCTCTCCTTTCAGTAAAGAAATATCAAACAAACACAAAAACATTGCTCGCAGAGGTTGTTACGCAAAAATAAATACCCAACTCGTTAAATCCTGCAACCAACCCCTCAGTTATCTAATGGTCCATCATTTAGTAATGCTGCTAGAAATAAGTTTTGGCTAATGAAATTACCTGCAGTAAGGCATGTATTTTCTCTCCTGATTGTTCGATCACAGCGTATCTTTTATGAAGCAATGAAACACGATCCTGAAAACAAGACATAAATGCAGTTCAAATACCACGGCATGATATAATAGACTAGTTATGTATCTTGAGTGTTCCGGATAAGGAAAGGTATGGGATAATTAGGTATGGCTATGGGAATTGCATACTAGATTTTACCTCTAAATTCAAGAGACCTTCCTTTTTGCCTTCTTTTCTTTCATACAGAGGAGCCTCACTCCATTTAGTCATCAATTCACTTATAGCATCTACGTTGTCCTTAGCAGCTTGCACACGGTTTTGAAGATCATGAACCATGTCTCGAGTCTTCTCGATGTACTCCCAGGCCGCTAAAGAATACAATGAAACATGACTAACGCATCGTGATACACTACGAAATTATACATGAAGCTTGCTAACGATGACAACGGCAATGATGGTGGTGGTTGATAATGATGATGGTGTGGTGGTGGTGATGATGTTGATAACGATGATGGTGAGCATTATTTCTGACGCATGACTA